ATACACACACACACACACATACACACACATGTATATATAGTAGCTACTGCTGGGGACTAGATTGGGAGGGGCTTATGTTTTTTTTTTCTTTACCTCATACAGTTCTTTGTTTGATTTCTTTCTTAAGCACATACATTTTAATAGCAAATACTTCTCATAAAATAAGCCTCAGATGATAATTTAAAAACACTTGTATTGTGTAATATTTCCATTCTGTGGTATTTACAGAAAATTTTTCTATTATAAAATGCCTATCATTTAACATTTCCTTCTTTATGATTGCTACCCACGTTTTACCTATGAGAGAACAGAGGCTTTGAGAAATGATGTGGCTTGAGACCAGCAGTTAGCGTAATGGCTATGTTGCTGGACTCCCACGCGGTCGACCGCGGTCCAACCCCCGGACCCGGTGGCTTAAACTCACGCCGGGCGCGTGTGCGTGAGTGCCCAAGATCCCGAGAGGAGAATGGAGCAGAAGGGAATATGGCGTGGCCATCCCCCCTAGGGGGTGATTTCCTGCTTTCTGTCTCTCTGTCTGGTGAGCGCACGCGCCCTATAGCAGAAACCTCTCCAAAAAAAGAAATGATGTGGCTTGAGCTACTACTGAGGCACAGCATTAGAATCACAGCCCAGGTGTGTTTGACCTGAAAGCCTGGGCTCTCTGTTGCTTTCCAGAACATCATGCATCACTTGCTTTAATTTCTTTTTGTTTGACTTTGTTAAGATTTGTTTTTATGTTTCCTAGGTCTGTATGCTTTGCTCTGTGGGCTATCATCTCTTTTCCTGCCATCGGTCAGAAAAAACCTGTCGAAGATGGATGGCATTAGATTATGCAGGAATTTCTATTGGAATACTGGGCTGCTATGTCTCAGGAGTATTTTATGCATTTTATTGTAATAATGTAAGTAGCTTAAAACATTTTACACTCAACCTTTCATGTGGGGGTCTTGGTTTTCTTACACAGTTCCTTTGAATTTTTTAATAAGTACATAATTAATTTATGAAATTTTAAAAGAATCTTGTGTGGGCATAAGTTTATTTTTCAGGCCAGACTTGTAGACTAGTAGTTAAGAGAGATTGATCCACATGTCTGCCTGCACAGTTCTAATCCAGGCCCTCGTGACTTGGAAAACATGCAGGACCTACCTGTGCATGTCCTAAATCCTGACAAGATGGAAAAATGGAGAAAGGATTGCAGTACGACCCTGCCCCATGGCGCGTGCTTTCGCCCCATGCCTCCCTCTGTTTTTTAAAAGGGCCCTGTGATCTCTAACATCAGTTATCACTTTTAAACTTATTTTACTAATTTTCCATTGGAAAAAAGTACCTAAAGTTATTTTCTAAAACTTAATGTAGACATTGTATTAATGTTTACACTAAATCCATATGGCTTCATGATTTCTCAAATAAGCACATTACATGTTGTTAATTTTCTTTTTTATAGACTTAAAGTTATACTTGATAAAATTATGAAGTTTGCTACTGTTTCTTATTTCTCTTCTTATCCTTTACTCTTTTCTCAGTGAAAAAAAAAAAAAAATGAAGATATATTTTCCATTTGTTGTTTTAGTTGCTTCTCTTTCAAAGCCAAGACTGAGCTGCTCCCTAAGGAACAACACACCTCCTAGTTAATTCTATCTCATTCACAAAGGATATAGCCTGTCCTGCTCCAGCCCCCCAGCATGTAGTGAATGCTGTAAGCCCCAGGCCCCAGCCTTCCTTTATTGGAAAGACTGTCTTCAGCACAGGCTTCCTCTGACTATTTGAGATTTGTAAATAGGACCTTTGTCTCTACACAAAACCAGTGAGAACTGTCAATATTTCTGGCATGTCAAACCAGCACAGAGACAATTCATAAATTTGGCTTGAATGTCCAAGAGTGTTAATTGTAGCCACTTAAAAGATAAGCCATTTACTTTTTAGAACCAATTACTTTGGAATATAAGCATATAATTAAGTGTATATGCAATTAACCTCATAAATTGGTTTGGTTTTAGTAGTAGACTGTTGTTTGCTCAGCTTCCATAATTTATTCATTTTGTGTGAAACTGTTTACATCTTTTAAAAAATGAGTGGAGGGGGTCTCTCTACTTGCTGTGATGGCGGCACAAGACCAGAGTACAAGCAGCGTCTGTGGGAGTCATGGCAGTACAAGCACTTAGGGAGATTCTTCCACTCTTTGACCAAGTATTGGCTGAAAGGAGTGCTGTTGAAACAGTAAGCAAAGGAGGTATTATACTTCCAGAAAAGTCTCAAGGAAAAGTATTGCAAGCAACAGGGATAGCTATTGAATCTGGCTCTAAAGGAAAGGGTGGAAAGAAGCAACCAGTAAGTGTGAAAGTTGGAAATAAAGTTCTTCTCCCAGAAAATGGAGGCACCAAAGTACTTCTACACAACAAGTGTTCTTTTTTATTTAGAGATGGTGACATTCTTGGAAAGTATGTAGACGGAAATAAATCACTACTGAAATGGCATGTCACACAAAGCTACCCATTCCACTGAAGTGAAATATTTCATCATGTAAATAATTTCCATGTCTCTCTTTTATAATAAACAAATGATATCTAATGTTAAAAAAAGAAAAAAAAAAATTAGTGGGAGGGGAGCCAGCAGGTGACATGGTGGTTAAGGTTCTGGATTCCCAAATGGCAGACCACAGTTACAAGACTTGACCTGGCAACTTGAAAATCACACCAAGTTCATGTGTACACACCCAAAATCCTGAGAGGACAGCAAAGGAGAAGAGACTGCAGTGTGGCCATCCGCCTTGAGGGTTGATTTCTCACTTTTCTTCTGTCTTTCTCTCTCCAGCCAGTGCACATGCCTTATGGAAAAACCTAAAAAAATTAAAATTTTTTTTAAAAATGAGTGGAGAACAGGTTTGTGAGTACACTCACGTAATAACAAATTGTTTTGCTTTTCTTACTCTGTATTTCTCTGAGTCTTATGTTTACCCCTTCCTAAACATCAAAATGGAACACTTTTTATAAATATTTTACCAGAAAAACTAAAAGTCCAAGTTAAATTAAAAAGAAAAGAGGGGAGGCAGCAGGTGGCATATTAGTTAAGGCACTGGAATCACTCACATAGCTGACTAGGTTCAAACCCCAGACCTGGTGGCTTGCTTTTTCACTTTCTTTCTGGTGGGTACATGTGCCCTGTAGCAAATATAAGTAAGTAAGTAAGTAGGTAAATAAATAAATAAATAATTCTTAAGAAAAGGGAACTACAGAATACTAGTATGTCCTATGTCACATAGATGAAAAATTGCTTTCTTCTGACTTCTGTTTCTTCACAAATATTGAGTTTACTATAGTGACTCTTTACTTTTTAAGGAGCTCAGGTTCATTTCAGAATGAGGTTGAAAACTGTCTACAAAGGAGAATACTCATTTGCGCACACACCTGAACAAACACTCTGGCACATGATTTCAGTGAGCAAAGCCTTGGAGAAGTCATTGGAGTCCAGGCTAACAACTCTCTTAGCCCTGTTACCACAATGTTGTAAGAAGGCACTACTGCATGGTAGCTGAGGCCCTGTGGGAGGACTGGGTGTGATTGCTGGCCCACCAAGACAAGCCAGGCATGGTGACATGTGCTTGGGATCTTAGCTAACTGGAGGCTGGGGCAAGAAAGACTGTGACATAGCCAGACCCAGTCAGAAATCTCTCTCACACATACACTCTCTCCATCTCATTAAAACAAGCAAATACAATTCTTACTTTATTACTAACTCTTGAACTTTAAGACCAACTTTTTAACTCCTTGTTTGAATACCTAACTATCCCATGGGCCCTTCAAACTCAATATATGTTAAGGTGAATGTACTTTCTTCTTCCCTGTCCTCTCACACACACACCAAACCTAGATCACGTTTGTTCATTTGCTCAACAAATGGAAGTCATGGCCCATTTTTGCATAGAAAAAAATACATCACAACTTTTTCAACAGCCCAATATATGGGTAAATGTGGACTTTTACTAGCTCACTTTGGAATTTGATTTGTCATCCTAAGAAACCTAATGGTTGTATGGAACATGCGTTTTTATGGTAGGGAGATAATCCTATTTGGAAATGAAATAGTTTGTGAAGCCAAAAT